AATATAACGCCACCAAATTATTGGTTTAAATTTGTAATTATTAATGAAAGTTGATTCAAAATTTTCCATAAATAAATTACTGAAAAATGGGGATAGTTTGCAGTTGGGCACCACTTCCTTAGGTCGTTCATTAAACGCATTTGGTTAACTTCGATTTTAAGATATAAATTAAAAAATTCAACTTCAAACTTTAAAAAAATCCTTGCTGATTTCGGTCAAATCAGCCGGCATCCCTGTGTGAAGAACAATTTGCGAACTTTAATTTAGACTTAAGTGTTTGAAAATATTTAATATATAAAATGTAAATCTTCCGCTTTTTTTACCTACGATGGTAGCAAACGCCCATAGAGGTTCAAGGCTCGGAGGTGACAAAGCTACCCGTTTCTGGAAACCGAAGGGAAACCAAACAGTAAAATTGTAACACTAAAAAAGAGAAACGGCCTTAAAAAATCCTGATTTTTTCCCAAACCTTCGTTTCAGCAGTGTTTTTTCCTGAAGTTAAGGATTACCCAAGTGCAGTCGAAGAAGACATTGAGAAGGGGTGGCCCTAAAAATCCCCCTAGCAAAACAATTTCTTACATCTAAAAGACTTAAAAAAGTGAGAAAAGAGTGAATTTGCGGTCATCGGACACCCCATTTACTGGGCTATGCAACCCAGCGCCACGGTAAAAACCTTTTTACATAAGGATCTTCTACGGATTCCAGTCGAACCTTTTCCAGGTACTCCCCGACGCAACAATACAAATAACTTTCTGATTAAAGGCTGCATAATAAAATAAAGAACAAAAACAAAAATTAAAAAAACGACGAAATAGCCACTAGAAACATTTCAAAAATTGGTCCAGCACTAATGTCAGAATTTATTTCTTCGCCACCGTATCAAGAAGTATTTCCAAAGATAACAATTCAACTTCCCTAATCTATTTTGTTGACATAAAACGTTGCAGAATAGGAAAATATCAATTCAGTAAATTCATATGCGGATTCAAGGCAAAGTGCGATTTCTCAACGCACACATTTGGCTTAAAAATTAATCCTGCCAGCACAGTCTTGACAAAAAAGAGATTTTAAATTATTAAAAACTTCAAATTCTCCAAAACTAATGCGTATAAATTTAGAGTGCGTTATTCGCACTGAAAGTTGATGAAGATCAAAGATCAGTGTCCAACAATCAAACAATGGACTTACCAGCTTGGCCGTGGAAAGACCAGGACTTGGGAAGACAAAGATTTCGTTAAAATATTGCGTGATAACATTAGGAATGTGGAAGTGTATTATTTAAAATAATGTATTCGCTAACGAAATAATGTATCGTACTCAAGACTTCGTCAAGGCTCTTCGGTCTTCCTATTTGAGTCGAATTTTCTTTGTCCGTTTAAGTCTTACAAACGAAACGCATATTTACATTCGATGAATAATTTAAAGCCACAATATGAGAATTATATAAATCCGCTCACAGTGGTTATATATTGTATAATA